ATTAATTTCCCATAGAACTCTATACAAACCTTATGCCCTCCCAGTACTTTACTAATTCCCTTTCAAACAAATCTCTGGTATCATTTGAAACTTCATTCTAAGGACTTGTTAAAAACACGGAAAAAAAATATCCCGTGCCGTGGCGTTTATAGGTCAAATTTGCAGTTGTTTACAACTTACAGTAATCGGCAGTAAATAGCACTCTGCATCTAAAATCAACCCCACTCCTTTAGTTCCCCCCTGGTATTTCTATACTTTCTGTAATATTCCCTCATTCCATCATTTATTTCAAACATTAATATTTTTTCTTTAAAATGAAAATATTTACATACCTGAATTCAGCCAATCAGGTAACGCCTACCCATTTAGTACTCTTCTCCATCTCGTCTAACCAGGAAATGATGTAAACATCCGGTGATTTGGTACTCTTTTTCCTTGACCAACAAGCTTTGACTAAGGGGATAGTTTCGTACTAAAGACCCGTCAAATTTCTTTAAAAACTGAGATATTCCCTGTTTAATGTGATATTTTATGTAGAAAAATGATTAGAATAATTATGGGACACATTTGCAGTGTAGCAGAGTGCTTGCTGAAAAAAAATGATGTGCAACATGTAGGTGTCACTATGACGCTTATCATATACAAAGTTGTAAATGCGAAACTAAGATACTTGGTCAGTTGCAGAGGCAATTCAGCTGAAAAGCAGTAGGCCATAGAAGAAGGTGTGTATCTCAGAGGGAAGGTGAATAGCCCCATATCAATTCGTGAATTTTCATTAGGGCATGCATTGATTTACAGACTACTGGGTGTTTTATCCTGCTCGCTCGGGCCTGGGGGGTGGGTTGTATGGGTGCGACTGAGGCCCAAATCTTGGAAAAACAAGCCAAAATTTGGGGAGTCCCCAGGTGCATTTTTGGTACATGTGCACTCTAATAGGCTGATTACATGTAATTTGTTGACATAATTTGTGAGCCATGGGCATATGAAGTGTAATTAATTAGCCCCTGGAAAACTGTTCCCATGTACATGTTTTTATGGATCGCACGTATATGTGTACCCCCTCGGCACATGTTTGGCATTAAAAAAAACTATCCTCTGCCACCTAAATCTAGTACTGTCTGACAATAAAATCATCTCACCAGTATTGTAAGTCCAGTAATGTGTGCTGCGTAAACAACTTGAATACAATCGGTAAAACGTAAACATTAACAATAACAGACCTCGTGCTCTGTTTACAATCACGGGGGGGGGGAGGGGGGGGGAGTTAAACTCCATAAGATCTCCATATTAAATGGTGCAAGTGCGGGAGTGATTCACTCCCGCAAAGATTTTGACTATTTTATTAAAATTTCTTTCCTGAACTCAAATAAATGTACTTATGCAGACATAAATTGATCCAAAAATTTAATGAATTGTTTATGTATTTTTTTTTTCATGCATGTCAACATAATTACTTGAATTGTTCGCCATGTTTACTGACCTTGATCGATTTTATTTTGGGACATCCAGTGAGAATTTGAGAGCGAGGCAGCGGCTCTTGTGAATGAATAAATAGGAATCCCTTGATTTAAGCATAAATATCACTGTAAATGAAACAAATTCCATGCTTTTACTAATAAATGTTTACAGCAAAATCATTATCTGTACCGAAATTTATATTCTTTAATTATAGTACCCTGCCTAAATTCCTGTATATTTTTTCATGAAATATGGAGATAACGAACAGTATTCAAGCTCAAAGTCTATTTAAACAATACAAATTCGAGCAGAGCAGACATGGACCTCCAAAAACATCTGAGGCGGTGCCATGGAGGAGTGAGCATTCCCTGCCGACCGGTCACGCCCGCCGTGTGCTCCTTGTCATGATCGGGGAAAAAACGGAAAAATCCGTAGACAATTTAGAGTGTAAATAATGGCCCAACAATTAGTATGAAAAACGTCAGTTAGTATTTGACTTAATGATAGGTTTAATTTGCTGACAAGATCATTGTATCGACCATAAAACTTGACTTCAAACGAGACTGTTGATATCTTTGTATCGTCCACTTGTTTGTCAAATGCTTGCCTCGTTTTAGAATTTGTTCATATGAGACAAAAACCCCATATACAGGTGATAAGGGTATATTGCTACATAAGTAATGGAAGTTGACGATTGAAAAATTGAAGTCCTCACGTTTAAATCATCATACAGCTTCATTTGCATTCTATATTTTCCATTTGCATTGTATAATTTCTTATTTGTATTGTAAAATTTCTTATTTGTACTCTTATTTGTATTCGATCATTTTTCATTGTCACCGAGGATTGTTTATTTATTTCGTTACGAAGAATTTCATTGTTCAAAATTTAGACTGTATCGTGTTGAGATGTTCCGGGAGCTCAAAGCAAACTGCGCTGGTTCTATCTGTATTTGCGTGCATGTTAGAGGACGGCCACCTAGATGAAAAGGAAGCGCTGGCAGATGGCAAATAAATAATCTGTCCTTAGAAATGTTGTCTGAGAAAATAAATAATTTGATCTTGACAGGTGGAACCCCAACCCCGGGTGTTGCTAAAACGCGGAACGGAAAGCGGAACGGAACGGAAAACGGAAAGTCTTATATCAAATTATTTACTTCATGCATGTACAAATATATAAATCGGACAGGAACCAGTATTCTTTATCATACAGTTTATATTTCATTCAAAAAATGCATAACAATGTAATTTATTCATGACCCCCCCCCCCCAAAAAAAAAACTACATGCATGCGGTGGTCAATGAAATACATAATAATTATACACACAGCCCAAGTATCTGTCTGAACGCCTCATTCATAACTCGCCCAAATCTAATTTTTAATGGTTACTCACCAAAGATTAAACTCTCTTTTTTGATCATTTATTATGAAATAGGCAATGGTGGTTCAAAACAGGAGGAGGTGGGGGGGGGGGAGAAAGAGAATAATCATGTACACATTTGTGTTCTAGACAACGATCACTGGCATTAAGGAAAGAATAGAGGACACGCTTATTACAACAATAGGCATGTGCGGATCTAGAGGGGTTCGGGATGGGGTTCGGACCCTTTGAAATTTTCAGAGTTATTACGTGTACATAGTAAGGTAAATAAAAGGAAAATGACCCCCCCCCCCGGAAAACACAGATCCCTGTGAAGTTGATGGGAAAAGTAAACAACTTTTAAACGCTTTTTTGACTGGGGTGTAACCCCCCCCCCCCCCCCCGAAAGATATCCACCGTCGGGCACTTAAAGCGAGGACAACGAAGGCTACATCTATGCATCATCCTCCCTCCCTACCAAATAATAAATTACGAGAGTGCTTTTTGGAAAATGTGTGATTTCTCCATCATAGAAATTTGAATGTTATTCTGTGCAATCGGTCTGTGTTTTCCAGTGTTATAATTTGGTCAAATACGGAGGGTGGGGTGGGTGAAGGATGAAGAGTTGTACAATATCATGGTTATCCACGCTTTAGGTGCCTGTGCATTTAAAATTATGCTGTGTTCGCTCATATAAATATCGAATCCTGGCTATTTATGTTGACCAGAGTGGTCTTTTATAAAGTTAATTCACTCATAATTCACCACAACGTTTCATATATACCATGTGTACGGCATTATATTTTATGTTTTCCGTACCCTATGCTTCCCTTTTGTACATGAAACTTCATAATATGAGAATATACATGAATAGCTCAACTTGTTCTTGATGATCAAGGTTAAATATAAACAACATTTACAATGTATATTGTTTTTGGTATAATTTATTATATCCTCAAGGCCTTTAACTGGTATCATATTTTCCGTTTTCCGTTCCGTTCCGTTTTCCGTTCCGCGTTTTAGCTAAAAAATTGACCAATGAAATCCTTCGTACGTAAGGAAAAAATAAACAATCCTTCGGATACAATACAAATAAAAAATTATCGCATACAAATAAGAAAGTATACAATACAAATAAGGAATTATACAATGCAAATGGAAAATATAGAATATAAATAAAAAAAATCATACAATACAAATGAATTTTTTTACGATACAAATGGAAAATATTGAATACAAATAAATGTTATACAATCCAAATATAAATTATACAATCCAAATATAAATTATACAATACAAATGAAAAATTATACAATATAAATAAAAAATTATGCAATAAAATGGACAATTTTAGAATATGAATAAAAATTATACGATACAAATGCAAAATTTTACAATGCAAACGGAAAATTATACAATACAAATGCAAAAGATTGAATATTGCAATATTTGACATGCCATAAAAAGTATTTCATTTACTTATATTTTCAAAACCTTTCAGGAAAAAATACTGAATTAAAGGAATTAGAGGAAGTATGAATTTTTAACCACATCCTTTATCAAATCAAGAAGATCCAATTTTGACTGTTTATTTTGATTGGCCAATTATTAGGCTGATCCTGCTAATGACATTGTGCACGGTGCAAAAGAAATTGTTTACACTTTTTAAGTTCTCCACCTCCTCCACCCCATACACCTTTTGTCAATGTTTGTATTGGGTTGCATTTTTAAAGATTTGCATAATATTATGTTCGTTAACTCAACTTAGGTGGAAGTATCATGTTGTATATTTTGAATTTACTAGGGGGAGGTAAATGCAAAAATTTACAACATGATGTAAATTTTGCATTTACCTCCCCCTCGTAAATTCAAAATTTACAACATGATAGAAGGACTAGATACAACAGTCATGGCTCTCTTCTCCATACGAACATGTATGCAAATGCTGTCACCATTAACCATGAGTATACTTGTGTGCTTAGCCTATTAAAAACAGTTATATAGGGAATGTTGTTGGAAAAAATAAAAGAATAATTATGTTCTTACATTGTATATTTAGAAAATACACAATAATGATTATAGAAAAGGTCACATAATAAAGCATGATAAAGCATGATAGTACTGACAAAAATCTGTTTTTTTCCCCAAAATATTCACTCATCAAAAATCACTTTCTTAAAAGCATTATTTTTGACAAGAGAAACATTCATTTAAGACATCGTACTCATGTTGCATTTGCTCGATAACTTTTTGGAATTTCTCTGCCTCGGCGCATAGTTGGCCCTGCTGGATTTTAGACAAGTCGACTGCATTCCAAATTAAGGATCCTAAATCAATTATGAGTCCAATGGCTGCCATCGCACTTAAGGCCTCCGTCGAGAGTTTGGTGACCCCCTTGGAAACATCTTTCAGTGCTGATGGAACAATGTCATCTAATGCTGCCCCAAGACTCAACACCCTTGCAACTTCATCTGCGTTTCCTGTGATACGATATACATCGACAGCTATTGAAGTTGTCACCAAATTAAAAATGTCTTTGCCGAGTACTGCAGTGCTCCCTGCTCGCCTTACTCCTTCACCTACATGCGAAATTTCCAATGTATTACTATCTTTCATTATAGTGTCAATATCCTGTCGGAGCAAGGTAACCAATCGTTTCATTTCTTTGCACGTTGTGTCATGTTTTTCCAAACTTGCTTTAGCATGATTACATTGTTTTTTCACTATTCCAATTTTGACTATCCCATGAGTAACCCCCGCGACACCGGAAGTCACCCCTGTGGCAATCCCGGTCGCTGTTAATATAAGAGAAGTCCCTAGAGTGACAGGGGCCATCGCTATGCCGGCAATGCCCAGTATTCCGCCTATAATCCCGAAAATTGAATACGTGATGTTTCCAATGGAATGAATTCTAGCTTGTTGTTGAATTTCATCTCTTATGGTTCTTAGTTCCTTGAGAATTCTTTGTCGCTCTGGTGCCCAGGTTTCAAAATAATTTTGTGCATTTTTGAAGGAATCTCGATTCTCCATAATGATTCAATATTTATGCAAAACTGGTCATCTACAATATCAAACGATATACCATTTGATGCTTCGAATCTTTTGGATTTATTAAGAAAAATGACTTAGGATTTTGATAAGCTCTCATAATCAATTCTTTTGATCACGCTTTCTTTCATATTATTTATTATAATATATCAAGAATAAACATACTATTCAACACAATGCAATTTTCTTAAAGGTAAATATATAGTTGACATAGCACTTATCCAAAATGAAAAATTATGTTGGGTAAGATCACAAGTGCTGTGGACAGGAACCCCTACCCGGCGCGCCCGCCCTTACAACAAAAAAAAAAAATTACTATAATTAACTATAGTTTGCTATTAATAACTATAGTATCAAAGTTTTCACTAAAGTAAATCAAATTTTTACAACTGTAAATCAAAGTATTTTTACTATGGATTTCACATTGTTATATTTGATATGTTCTCAAATTCATACATGCACTATTTTCATATAAATGGAACTATTACTTGTATATTCACATATCAATAATTACAAATTTTATATCCCTGTTATCGAATTAAGAAGATTTAAAGCTTTGATATGATTATCTCAAAAAAGTTTTAGAGTAAAGTTTTATAGTACATAAAAGTATCAAATTTTAAGTTTTTAAATTTTTGTTAGCCCCCCCCCCCCGGAATATACGCCCAGGGTCAAGGCATATTATTTTTATTCGTCTTCTGTCATAAATATTCTTCTATCCACACATTTACAACGTATTCCATATAGAAAATCAAAAACAAAACAAAACAAAACAAAAAAAAAAAAAAAAACAAAAAAAAAAAAAAAAACGTAGAATGAACGTTGTATTAAAAATCATATCCATGGTATTTTATTATACCGCGGATATTTTTGAATTAAAAAGGTTTGTGGGTAAGATAAGTATTGTCTAATCCATCTAACAGTAATAAATAATAAGTAATAAAAAGTTTTAGAGTAAAGTTTTATAGTACATAAAAGTATCAAATTTTAAGTTTTTAAATTTATGTTAGCCCCCCCCCCCCCGGAATATACGCCCAGGGTCAAGGCATATTATTTTTATTCGTCTTCTGTCATAAATATTCTTCTATCCACACATTTACAACGTATTCCATATAGAAAATCAAAAAAAAAAAAAAAAAAAAAAAAAAAAAAAAAAAAACGTAGAATGAACGTTGTATTAAAAATCATATCCATGGTATTTTATTATACCGCGGATATTTTTGAATTAAAAAGGTTTGTGGGTAAGATAAGTATTGTCTAATCCATCTAACAGTAATAAATCCCATTTCCATTCTCTCTTCCGAATTTTGGGGATTGTTTTCATTAATGCAATTGTTTTCAACAGGGATATTCATTGGGACAAGTCTTTTCTCTGTTCTCTTTTCTCTGGGAACAACATTCTTAATGTTTATTGTACTTAAAGATAAATGAAATTTTTAGAGATTCAAGAAGTCAATAACACTAAGAGATATTACCAATTAGATTAAATTTGACTGTTTTATTTTAGGAACAATGTCAGATCAAATACTGTTTTCAATAATGTGATGCCCACTTCCATTTCAAAAGATTTTTTTTCCTTTTTGCATTAAAAGATCTTACCAAATATTATCTATCAGATGCTAAGTATTTTAAAACTAAGATAAATAATTAAACTAAGATAGAAATTGTCTTTCCCGAATTTCCTCTGTTTTTCGTAAATTTTTAGGGAATATTAATTTATATATATGCTTTATATTTTTAATTTTTTTCTTATTTTCACATATGATAAAAAATTCTCATATAAAGGTACAAAATAATACAAATACACATGTACCAAGGTGCGTAGCCAGAATGGAATCATGCAGAGAACGGCGGGGGGTTTCAGGTTCCAACTTCCACAAATCAATATTTTATTAATACATAGCCAAATTAACATGATTTATCTACGCTACAACAAAAAAGGGGGGATCACCTTTCAGTGAACATTTTCAAAAGCGAAAAGTTAAGTTTAAAAATAAGAAGGGGGAGGGGCAGGCCACCCCCCTGGCCTCCCTAAACTACATGTATGTGCCTGTTGGTGAGGGCCCAGAAGCTCCTACGTTTTACTAAATATTTCATTTATTTTCTTGCAAAATAAAAATTGTGCCATTTAGCTTTTGTTTAGAAATAAAGGACATAGTAATATTTATTGTTTTAACGCAAAGTTAATACTTCCATGGAAACTTATTGTACAGTAGTTTAGCCTAAATATTTAAACGATATTTTGGTATCATATGCTCTTTTTTTCAACGTTTAAAAATACGTCTACTTAATGTAAATTATTAACAAAAAATATCGTATTTTAAATCATATACCAGTAGATCATAGCATTCAACGATGTTTTTGAATTTTAATCTCTCAAAGATCGTTAAAAAAGTCAATCTATTAAAGAACAATAATTACACATTAATGAATGATTTATTAGGATTTGACAGATGAATTCATAAAGGATTTCAAATTTTATTATACAGTCATGATAATATAAAATTCAAATCGAAACAGTATGGCACAAAATAATTCGAAACACGAATATTTATTGAATGGTAGTGAGATTTTTTTCTTCGAATCTCGCTCTCTCTCCCCTAGTTGTTTGTTTGTTTCTTTTTTTTTTTTTTTTTTACTGATATTTTGCTCAAATCTGTTCTTAGAATGGAAGCTTTCAAAAGTTAACAAGATTGTTGTTTGTTTAGAAAATCATACTTAATTGATATATTTTAATACTTTAGTTCATATGTATTAATTTCAGTCATTTCAGAAAAAAATTCTACTAGTCTTTGTTTGTTTAAAATTTTTTGTTTAAATTCAGTGTTCTGTATTAATCTTGAGAAGTAGAAAAAGACACATTTTCTTATGCCGCAGTTCCACCATATACATTAAAGATGTACAAATATGAGAAAGAAAGAAAATTAAGATATTTTAGATCCCTCATCTCTAAATATACAAGACATATAAGCAAATATACATTTTGTAAAAAACAAGACAAGAATCCCATAAATAAAATAAATAAATAAAAAGGTAGCAAGAGAAAATTTCTTAAGTTTCTGAGATTCGAATATTTAAGTCATATAATAGCAGTAATACTTACCTAGAATAATTGTATAATACTTTTCTACTTGAAATTGACAGAAAATTCTACACTCTAAGGAAATCCCGACAGTTAACCGACACCCGACGCATATGTTTGCTATTTACGTCCCGTAACTTGCGTTATCTATACATGTAGTTTCGTTTTAAGAAAATTCAATTTTTTAAAAATCCATGCGAACATGAACTATGACACTTCTCCCATTACATGAAGCGCGTTAGCCATGGATTTTCAGAAAATTAGATTCATACCATTACTTATATTTACACTATTATTTACATATTTAAATTGTCATTTACATATTTACATTGAATAGACCCGGCATATATTTCAAGAAACGCGATAGCCTTTATTTAAAAAAAAAAAGAAAAGATTCATATCTTATTTACATTTTTATCTGATGATTAGACACAGATTATATCATTGAACTAGTTTAAAAAAAATGATTGCACTATATTTTGACGTCATGGAGATATTCATGCTCTACCAGTCGAGTTCTTGAGACAATATTTAGAATGTACATCCACAGAAATTTTTCTTTTTTTCCCTCGGAACACCACCTTATATAAATACGTAAAGGTTGATTACTGCTTTTTCAAACAACCTGTAAAGATCTCTTATGCAGTGTATACTTTTCAATCAATGGACTATGAAACATACATTGTCGTACTTATCAAGAATATTGGTTTCAGGATGGTGTATTTTGTGTATTGTGTGTTTTTCTATGTCTATTTTAAAAATACTCTTATGAAAATGAAAATCAAAATTCGCTGAAATTAAAAAAATGACAGTATAGTATTTCTGTATATAAAAAGACACAATGTGAGACAGTTGCCATCATGGATTCTAGTGGGTGTCTCGATTAACACTAGATTTTATTCAACAGATCTACATTTTCTCTAACGGTGTCGGGCGAGATCTCAAAAATGATTGAATAACTTGCTTCTATCGTCTGTCGATTTGCACTTGCCGTATAAAACGCGCAGTAAATCAAATCGTTCCACGATACCTAGAATTGAAACTGAAAGCATTTGGACGTGACGATTTCTAACTTTGTAAAGTGTAGAGGCTTCTCAGAATTGCACAACTAGTCTAGAAATAAAAAAAAGTTTGGCACGGTTTCTGATCTCTCTAGACTCGCTGAACATGTAAAGTTTTACAGACAGTGGCAGATATACATGTACGTATATGCGGGAGGCAACCGCCCCCTAAAATGTTCAAGTTAAAAGAAAGAGGACAATAAAATAAATACAATTATATTTTTATTATCATTTCTTATAGATAGATTTAAATACAGATACGCTAGTCTTAAAGAAATGGACATTTATTTGATTTGCTGGTCTTAAGTTTAATATATCCCTGCAGTACTCGATTACTTTAATTACGACTGAAGTTAATTCGCTTTTTTTAAAACTAAATTTATTTACAAAATGTACATGTTCTATATATAAACTCCCACCCCCACCCGTTCTCAAATCACTGACAATGTATGTCAAATAATTATCTTTTATCCCTTCTTCACAATTTGTTAGATTTCCATTTCTGTGGAGTTTAAGAACATTGTAAATGTATATATGTATGCGCCACAGAATATATTGTCTAACACTGTAGGTAGACAGTGTAAATGAAACATCAGCAACAGAAAAGACAAGCTTTATTATTTATTGAAAATAAGACAGAATCATTGTCATATATACAATTGCAGAAAAAAATCCTTAATTATATAAACATGAAGTTTATTTTAACTAAGTCACAATAAGCAGAATTCTAATGCGTTTTCTAAAATGTTACCATTAGAACTGTATTTTATCTTCTATTCTGAAAGAAAAATTAATGATTTCATTTTACATTCATTTGTAAACTAGAATTGTGCGTATTCCCTCCAGTAAAAAGGTAATAGTATTAATGATGAATTGGTAGTATTTTCTACTTAATGTACATGTATTTTTTTTCGTGGTTATATTGTATAGCCATTATAGGTTTACATTTACTATTCAGATAGAAAACAAGTTTTTGCTGAAGAAATCAAATCTACTGGCCCTAATTAACATATCTGATTCATTCAAAATTCCAAAATGGAAAAAAAAAAAAATCAAATGACTTCCCTTGATGAGGACAAATTTATAAATGACAGTTTATTTCATATTTGTTTAATTGTTTGTTTATTTAGCTAGAGAAACAGCATATAAATTTTGCATACTCAGTGATAATAAAATAAATTCTCAGTTTATCAAACCGGCGCTTTCCACCACTCGAGATCCAGAATAGATAATTGATATGGAACAGGACATCTCAAATAAATGGCTTGGGGTAAAAAGCTAAGTGGAGTGGAGTAGAGTGGAGTCTTGTGGAGTCATGGAGTGGAGTCTGTATTATAACAGTAAAGAAAGTTTGCATGAGAACAAACAATTTCTTTTGCATACAATCTCTCCCCTGCATTGTCATTTTGGATTTGCTTAACAAGAATGAAACAAGAAACAAAAGAAATCTGTGCAGCCAAAAAACTATTGACCTTTAAATGTCAAACAGAGAATCACCTAGAAATGTTTTTAAAGCAAATTAACAACATCTAAACTAAGCTCAGATATATGACCCTGCTCGCCTATCCAAAACAGACAAATCTATTTAGAGGTGTTGACACTTTATAATATCAAACAGACAAAGAGTAACAACTGCACTGCGGAACTGATGACAACAATTGAATTACAACGGCACATATTTTAGGTTTTACTATTAAAGTGCAAGTGCCTTTGTTGATATCTGAAGGTTACTATTTTTTCTCCTAATTTGTTTTACATTAAATTTAACATACACATGTATCTCCCTTTTTCTGATTAAATTAGGAAAAATGTTGCAGAATCTAGGTGTATAGCCTATATGTATTTGTCAATTAAAAGTCTATCAAAATTAAATGTCCAGGATTAATTATAAGACATAAAAAGGAAAATATTTATTGAAATATACTCAACAGCTCGTTTCTTTTTATTTTTTATAAGTACACATTGTGCGTTTAAAACAATGATGCATTAATACTTACTCTTAAATTATTTACATAAAGTTTGTTTCCTGGTGAGGGGGCTGTGCTATTAGTTTCACCAATATTTGAACACAGAAAGGCTTATTTTGTAGGTGTGATTCAAAACAGAAATTATATTATATGATAAGTAATGCTAAAGCATTTTCAAAACATATTACCGGGATTACATCCCTACTGTTGAGTTATTGCTTTCTTTGTACTTCGCTGATCAATGTTTCACATGCACTCTATCAACCAGTATATATATCACTGATGCAGCAGTTTGATATAATTATACAGTGGTGAAGACTTTCTGATAGAATTAATTTAATTGGAGTGTAGGAACTTAAAAGAATGTCGATCCCCATAACGATGTGCTGAAATATATTTGATTCCTCATTTTTTTATAAAGACAACTCAAGCAGGATGCTGTCAACATGATTCTGTTAATAAAATAACATAGTTTGCTATGATGGACAAAATTTTCATTTTTTTTTCTTCTTTTATATCATTACATTAATTTTTTTAAATTTTGTTTTTGATGTTGCTGAGGCTGCCAATATTTTCCATAGTGGGTACATTATTATACCTTATTACTAGTATTATCCCCATGCGACAGAGTTGAAGGGGATATAGCAACACGCTTTTGTGTGTGTGTGTGTGTGTGTTTGTGTTTGTGAGTGTGTTAGTTAGTGAGTGGTGTTTTTTAAACGGAAATGGTGTAATTTGTATGGGGATCGATGTTGAATGTTGTCTTGATTTAAAGATATACTCTTTGCGAGGGTATGCTCCGCTTTGTGGTACCATTGTTTAACTTAAGTGTTATTTTAAAAAAAAATCCTTACAACATTTACCAGGGACATGTTTTACAAAACTGATGACTTACGACTAAGACCAAACACTGTAGATGATGTTATTTCTCATTTGTACAACTATTTACGTATCTCCTTTTTGGGGGTGGGGGCGGGGGTGTATCGGTAAATTGCAGGAAACACTACAGACGCTTAGATGAACACAATTCCCCCTCCTTTCCTCTCTCATTTCTGTATGCCCAAGCTATCGCTGATGTCTGTGATCACTGATCAAACTCTTGGAAACTTCCTGATTTCAGAATAAATGTTACAATTAGTCAGAAACTTGTTCATGTTGTATGAACCATATTGACAATAAAGTGAATGAATTACTGAGTAAATGAAGAAAAAAATCATGACCTTCACATGTCAACTCATCAATGGGAAAAGCTTTTTGTTTTGGGTAACAGAGACTAAGTGACCCACATCCACTCCCATCCCAAAAGGCGAGAAGTATTGAAAGATTAAATTAATGCACTAGAAATGCTTACATATTTGTTGCTTGTAAAAACAAATTTGCTTTAAAACGAACTGAACTAAATATAACTGGTTTTGCTTTTGTCAGAAAAAAGAATCTAAATTTACAGCTGGGCATAGTTTACAATTTGGAATCTATATAAGAATTACAGTAAAAAATATAATTACACATTTAATACACAATAAATTTTTTCAAGTTCGACAGTACACATAGATGTACATACTTGTAACCTAATAAAAATTTCAGCATTATTCAGGATATGTCCACTGAGTTATACTTTTAACAACAAACATGGGCTGTAGTGAAAAAAGCATTTAACAAGGGTACCACAAAGCGGAGCATCCCCTCGCAAAGAGCATATCTATAAATCAAGACAGCATTCAACATCTATACCGAAGCAAATTACACAAGGGTAAACTTACATACACTACCAACTCCGTTGCGAGGGGATAATAACTGATAAGACATATAAGTAACTTATTTTGCAACACATCTTTACGATCAGATAATTGAGACCTGATTCTTCAATGGACAATAAAATTTCTGGATATTTCAATCCATGGGCATTTTTGTAGCAAAACTTTTTGGACATTCTTCGAAATAGGGCAAATAATGCTTATAAGACATCCTGGGTCTGTTTCACAAAAGAACTTATGACCAAGACCAAAATATAATTTTGAGATTAACTTTCTTTTTAAGACTGATTTGAAAATGATTTTAATCCTTTTAAAAATTAATTTAGACAGGTATTTTTATGCAAGCAATTTTTAACAGAATCATTTATTTTGCAAGATTATATTATCATCTAAGGTGTTTGATCTTAGTAATACGTTCTTTTGTAAAACATGCCCCTGGTAAATGTTGCAAGGTTTTTTGAAAATAAAACTTTTAGGTACCATATATATTGTATTCCCTAAGGTAAATATTGGCAGTCTCAGCAACATCAAATACAAAATAAAATAATGATATTAAAAAAAAAAAATTGAAGATTTTGTCCATTGTAGCAAACCTTGTAACTTATTTAATTACTGAATCAAGTTGACAGCAACTTGCTTGAGTCGTCTTTATAAAACAATATTAATGAGTAACCAAATATATTTCAGCACATCGTTATGGGGATCGACATTCTTCTAAAGTTCTCATACTCCAATTAAATTAATTCTGTCAGAAAGTTTTCATTTTTGTTTATAACAAACAGCTGCATCAGTGATGCTTGTACTGGTTGATAGACTGCATGTAAAACCTTGAGCAGCAAAGTACAAAGAAAGCAATAACTCGGCAGTAATGATGTAATAAAATGTTTTAAATATATTTTAGTATTACTAATCATATATATAATTTCTGTTCTGAGTCACATTTATAAAACAAAAAGAAATTTCTTTGTTCAAATATTGGTGAAACTAATTATAGGTAGAACACTGCCCCCTCCCCAAGAAACAAAGGTAATTTTTTTTAAGAGTGTATAATGCATCATCATTTAAAATGCACATTGTGTACTTCAAAAAATTCAAAATAACTACATGAGCTGTTGAGTTTATCTCGATAAATATTTTTCTTTTTATGTCTTAAACTAGAAATTATTCCTTGACATTTAACTTTGATAGGCCCAATTGACAAGTACATGTAGACTATATATACAACTAGATTCTGTAGCAGATTTCCCCCAATTTAACCAGAAAAAAGGTATATTTGTATGTTAATACATGTATAAACAAATCAAGAGGAATGAGATACAGAAAAAAAATAGTGACCTTCAAATATCAACAAAGAGGGTTGAATGCACTTTAAAAGTAAAACCAAAAAAAAAAAAAAAAAAAAAAAAAAAAAAAAAAAAAAAAGGTATTTAAATCATGCGCCTTTATAATTCAATTGTCATCAGTTCTGCAGTACAGTTGTTTACTCTTTATCTGTTGATATTATAAAGCTGTCAACACCTCTTACTAGGTTTGTCTGTTTTTGGATAGGCGAGCAGGGTCATATATCTGAGCTTAGTTTAGATGTTGCTAATGTATTACCAAGTCTTTGTTTTATTAAAAGCATTTCTGTTTGACATTTAAACGTCAACAGTTTTTTGGTCGCACTGATTTCTTTTGTTCCTTGTATCATTCTTGTTACACAAATCCAAAATGACAATGCAGGGGAGAGATTGTATGCAAAAGAGATTGTTTTGTTCTCAAACTTTTTGTACTGTTATAACACAGACTCCACTCCATGACGCCACAAGACTCCACTCCACTCCACTCAGCTTTTTACCCCAAGCCCAAATAAAATTGACCTATCATACGTACTCTGTATTTGTTACCCACTTCTGTTAAAATTTCAATTAAAGTGAGTAAACCGTACCGTTATTCCTTGTCTTTGCCCCACATTGCCTCCCCTACTTTTGCCACCCCCTTAAAGGGGTTTGTGATCGCCCGGACGACAGCATTCCCGGGGAAACTGGACACGCCAGCGCCAGCAGAGTCTGTTTTGTCAGCCACGTCTACAGAATCTTTAACAGCCTGGAATGGAGCAGCCACTAGCGACCCCACAGCGGCTACCGGAACCCAGACAGGGGACGTAATCACGGTGAAAGCCCTCCTTATTGTTTTATTTTCCTCGTCCTTTTCTTTGTCCGCCATTCCTAGTTTCGTTTTGAAAATCTATCAGTATCACATGCATATCTTTACGTAAGACATTGCTCGATTTCGAATATACCTATATAACATTATCATAATTATAATAGATCATGTTTAATCCATATGATATTATCGATACTCGATAAAGAGAAGTGTAACATACCTGATATTACGTGCAGTGCAGCCAAGTGCACAAAATATGCATTGATTGGGTACAAAGGTCAAGCGATAGGAATTCACAAAGTAAATGCACAGTGATAAATGAATTAAAATAAACAACTTGGTCTATTTCAACATAAGTCGAACGTCGTTGGTGAAGAAATTTGATCAAGATGATTACAATCAAAGTTAAAACTATAAAAATCAGAATTAATTGTGTTGAGAGGAAAGATTGACAACTATATATATATATATATATATATATATATATATATATATATATATATATATAATATATATATATATATATATATATATATATATATATATATATATAAATATATATATATATATATATATATATATATATATATATATATATATATATACAGTTGTATATAATATATATATAAAAAGCACTAAAAACCAACAACACTGTATACTAGTATCCTATGTATCGGATGTTCCAAAAACAAGATCAAGGAAGAAAATGTATAAAAATCACTAAATTTTTTCAATTTTTTTTAATTGTTCGTGTCGTGGTTATTTTAAGTGCTATATATATATATATATATATATATATATATATATATATATATATATATATATATATATATATATATATATATATATATATATATATATATGGGGGTGTTAATGTTTTTCCTCTCAGGACAATTAACTCTGAATTTTAGAGTATAAGGAATATCTACACGTACCAGACCATCTTTAAATTAAAATTTTTCCTTCCCTTTCCCGACCCAGGATAAAAAAATAAAAAGTGTGAGTATAAAATAAAAATTAGTTGTTGATGGTATAAGAAAATGTTGGATTGAATAAAAAAATGTTTTCTTGAGGCTTAAGAAATGTTTTGAGTCAGTAGGTCTGGAGAGGGCAAATATTTTTAAGATGGCCTAGGCATGTCATCATTTTTGTCCCCAAGATTTCACTGAAAGTGGGGGATATTAATTTGGGTCTGTCTGTCCGTCCGTTAGCTATCCGTCTGTCTGCATTTCTGTCTGTCTGTAACACTTTCGTTTCCGGGCGATATTTCGAGAAGCCTTGAGCTTTTGCAATGAAATTTAACATCACGGTTTGTTCCCGTTTTGCACACATTTGAATTTCAGGTATTGAAAAAGTGTGTGCAAAAGGAGAATTAAATATTATATGAACACTGTCTAAAATTCTGTGTAAAAATATTGCTATTCTTTCAAAATAATTTATAAATCACAATTTATTAATCATTGATGATAGCAATCTGTCTAATTTGGATCTTCACTAAATCTATAAAATTCTTAATAAAGAATAGGGATCCAGGAATTCTTTCCGGGGGGAGGGGGGGGGTGGTTCCATCCAAGTAAAAAAAAAAATCCAAACCAGAAATATTTTGACAAGCAAAACTGCTTTCCCAAAAGTATCAAACCCCGAAAATTTCTTGAAAAGAAAAAAATCCGTTTCACAAACGTGAAAAAAAACTATTTCTTTGTGGTTCTTTGTGGTAGCGGCGGGGTCCACGTTTTCAAGGGGGTGTCCAAAATCAATTTTTATTTGATTCAGAATATACTTTTATTAACTCTGCAAATTCCAGGGGGGCACCTCCCCCCTCTAGATCCGCGTATGGGGATCTGCTTTATACTCACTATGCATCGCACACAAAAATCACTGACCGTTTATATTATTTGTAAGAATAAGCCTGACTTTTTAAACAATTACATTTTGAGATTCAAAAAACAAGTATGGTCCTAAGTTTCAAATAGTATACATGATTACGCCGTGAAACTTTTAAAAGGAATTAATCAGTTAATCGTCACCTGATAAGTGATTGTTAGATTGATATGATTTAGGTGTCCAGTGTAACAACGAATATTGCTCACTATATTGTTATTATGTTCCCCAAACGAAGTTTGGGAACATATTGTTTTTACTCTGTTTCTTATTAAGGTCTTCCGTTTCAGTCGGAAGACCTTATAGTGATTGTACTGTTTATTATTATTATTATTTTTTTTTTTCCCATTTTTTGTCCAAGCGATTTCTCAGAGATGGCTCAATGGATTTTCTTGAAACTTTCAGGGTTTATGACAAATAAAATAAACTAAAAACATTTTTAAGGATTTTGCAAAATTCACTTCCGGTCGTCAGATATGTCCGATTTCCGTTTTTTCAAAAGAGTTCATGTCCGGACGTTTTCTCAAAAACGGCAAAAGATTAAGACCTCAAACTTTCAGGGATTATAGATCATGACAAGTATGTTTGTGGAACATGTTTAAATCCGTCAGCCGTCACTTCCGGTCGTCACAGGAAGTGATCAAAGAAATCGAAAATTTCAACTTTTCTTATTTTAATTAAATCTTGTATCACTTAATTGCATCTGTTTTGCAGTTTCGAAATATGTTGGTCCCACTGGAAACAGAAACGTCAACTTCCGGTTACAAGCGAAAAACTACATAATTTGAGCATTTTACTTTCCCATAAATATCGCTTATAGAAGAAGTATTTGAAATGATTTTTAGATATGTTATTCAGACTGCAAATGTCTAGAGTAACGTCAAATATCTTGGTAAATTTCACTTCCGGTCGCGTGTTTTACTGTCCGCAAAATGAGAACTTGTCAAAGTGAGATCTCAGAAACGGTAAGAGATTAAGACACCAAACTTATATGAGTAATAGAGCTTAATGAGTAGGCAAAACCCTTTGGGTTAATAGCGTCAGCCGTCACTTCCGGTCTTCACAGGAAGTGATCAAAGAAATCACGAATTTCAACTTTTCTCTTTTGAAATAAATCTTGCATCATATAATTGAATCTCTTTCACAGTTTCTCTATGTGTTGGTCTCACTGGAAACAAAAAACGACAACTTCCGGTTATAAGACAAAACTATGTAAATGGGATTTTTAACTTTCCCAAAAATATCGCTTATAGATAAAGTTTTTGAAATGATTTTTATTTATGTTATTGAGACTGCAATTGTCTAGTGTGAAGTCAACCATCTTAGAAAAATGTGCACTTCCGGTCGCGTGTTTTTCTGTCCTCAAATTGAGATTTTGTTCACCAAATTGCTCAGAAACAGTACATTGCTGAAGTCTAAAACTTTCAGAACTGATAGAGAGTCCTCAGTTCATCTGCATAATGTAAAAATCGTACGTTGCCGTCACTTCCGGTCGTGACAGGAAGCGATGAAAAAAGTAAATTTTTAAAGTTTTACTTTCTTTTTACAGAAATGTTTGGCTAATACGGATGTTAGATAGACTGTAACAATGCAATTTATTTTCACCGGAAGGCCCAACCGAAAAACCGGAAGTTGTCTCAAACATGAGTAGTTTTTCATAGAAACTTTTAGGGAGGATCAGTTGTGAATAATTTAGGTGTAGAATGAACATTTTATTCATTTGGAGCACTTTCAATCATGACGTAGTACATAAAGAAAACAGGAAAGTAATTCCGTTTTTTTTTTATTGTTTTTACATATCTTTGGAAACCTTGAGATAACTTTTGTTAATTATTTAGAGTAATCTTATTGACAAGATTGTGGTTTTTTTTCCGAAGAAGTCAAGAAAACGGAAGACCTGTTATTGCCTAGGCAATAACTATCTAGTTATTAGGGTCTTCCGTCTCCAACGGAAGACCCTTCTATTATTCTATTGTTTCTTTTTCACTTTTATTATTATTATTATTATTTTTTTCTGTCCAAATTTTGTGCAGACGATTTCTCAGAGATGGTTGGATGGATTCACTTGAAATTTTCAAAGATGATGTATCATGATCTAAACCTTATTCATTTTTTTTATTTTTTGAAAATTCACTTCCGGTCGGAAGTTATCGCCCTTTAATCGAATTTTTAGTGACCATTTTGTCTACACAAAAACTCAAAAACGACAAAAGCTAGAGTGCTGAAATTTTCAGTGATAATAGAGGACATGTTCTAGTTTTGCACCTCAGTTTTCAAATTTTCTGGATGTGCCTAGTATGGAAGCTCGGTAGGGGTCGAAATTTAGGACATGAATCAGGAGTCAATTTTCGAGACATTTTTTATCATATCTTCAAAACTATAAATATTTTCTTAAAACATATTTAACAGAAATTGTGTAGAATTACTAGATCTTTTATATGATATAAAGGAAAAAGGGCTGACTCATCATATTAGGGGTCAAGAGGGGCCAAAAGTCTTAAATCCATAACTCTTTAACGATCAATATTTTGTTATACATTACTAAAGCAAAAATGATTATCTGAACAATCTACAACTATATATTATGATAAAAATCTCATAAGTTACATAATTAGGAGCCATAAGGGACCAGAATGCTAAATCTTTGACGCTTTATATCTCGAAAGTGGGAAATATTTTTAAAAGCAATATTGATTAAAAGATGTTCAAAATAATGTGCTAAGCAATATGCAACCTTTCAATATTTGCTAAACGTCTCCATTAAGGAGTTGAAGGGCCGGCCCCTAAATATTTCTTTTGCATATATCTCGGAAACGAAAAAGAATTTCTGTATAGTTGTTGAACAAAATGTGTTCAAAATCATAAGAGCTTTAAGGTGATATCAAGAAAAAGGGACTGGTCCCTCAAAATAAGGGCCGATAGGGGCCGAAAGTCTTTCATCAATAACTCTTAAATGATCAATATTTTGTAATACATTACTAAGGCAAAATAGATCATCTTCACACTCCTTAACTATATAACATGTTGTTGGCATCATATGTTACGTTATAAGGGGACATTAGGGGCCGGAATGCTAAATCTTTGACGCTTTATATCTCGAAAATGGGAAATATTTTGATAAGCAATATTGAATAAAAGATGTTCACAATAATGTTCTGAACAATATGTTACCTTTCAATTTTTGCCAAATATTCCCATTAGTTGAAGGGCCGGCCCCTTATTTCTTTTGCATATATCTCGGAAACGAAAAAGAATTTCTGAATAGTTGTTGAACAAAAAGTGTTCAAAATCATGAAAGCTGTAAGAAGATATCAAGAAAATAGGGCTGGTCCCTCAAAATAGGGACCAAGACGGGCCGAAAGTCTTTAATCTATAATCTTTAATTATCA